CTTAGATTTCCGTGATTAAGACTGGAATACATAACTTCTTTTTCGGAGAATTGATGACTTTATTTGTCGATTGATGATTTTACCCATACAACATATATTGGTTGATGTCCCTACTTAAACCGTTTTTCAGATACGGGGTCTCGGTCACTACACGTATCTTGTATCAAATGACCGTAAAATATACAATTATGAAAAATAGTGGCCAAAATCCTTTAAAATCAAGAACCTGTTTTACGGCACCTGTTCACATAAAAATGTTGTCTTTGTTTTAGCAATTTTAATTTGAAGGGGAACAATTGCACACTTGGCAAAACGTGCCAGGTATCAGTTGATTTCACACACAAATTATGGTGTTCTGCGTCATTACGTGTACGCACATTTAATCTGACATTTTCCCGAACCAATGTACACAGTATATCCTGAAAGGTAGAAAGTTTTGGATTCTCAATAATTAAGTAGGTCGTCTGAAATAATGGATGAACTTTTAGAACTGTTGTACATCTTATTAAAGAATCAATCAACCTTCACTCTCAATTTTTCTCTCTGGATGCACACTGGCTGCAAAGCATGGACAAGTTGGTTCAAAGCTACACAAAATGCCCTTTTACTGTTATGGATTAAGTTGAGAACTGACATCTCTAGGAATCAGTGTTCCGCTCTTTTTTCGCATTTCCCTGTCTAGTATTTCGAAAACCTTTCATTCTGTAATACAAACATTGAATATACTATAAGTACCAGTGTCCCTTGGTCCTGACCATTTGATTAGGTGGCAGAACCTTTCACACACTACCGTATTCTCAGTAACACTCTTTGGAGACAGAGTGACTGCCATACTAGATTATACATATATTCAAATTAAAAAAGTGCTGACCATAATCTTCAGAGAATGTTTGATTGCTGCCGGAAGAAGCGTAATTATCTTAATTTCATGAGCATAGCTCTACCTAATGGCTACATTTTAAACACAGTAGGCCCATTCGCTGGAAGCCAAAATGATGCAAGCAGTACTAAAAACATCATAGACAAGCTTACATGGTTGGAGCAAGACGACAATGTAGTCGTTGATCTTGAGCCAACACTCTGATCTACAGACTAACATTGACAGGACAGTTACTAAATCCCGATGGATTGAAGAGTCTTTTCATGGCCGTTGTAAGCATTGGACATTTTTTTAGAACTCAAGTAATATCAAATTGCTTCATTGATATAATTGAGGAAGTGCTAAAGATTGTGACTGCGTGTCTCAATAGATACGCGGACCAATTTATCACAGATCATCGTGAACTGACAGAAAAGACAGAGAACTCGCACAACAAATGATATTTTGACTGACAAAACCAAACTGTTTTGGCTAAGAGGGTGAATTCGTGTAAATTGATGCATCTTAAGTCACTTTTTTTCTTCGGTCTTTTTTAAACACTATAACATGCGGCACCTACCAATTATCATTAGCTCCAAGCTATAGCAGTGAACATCTTAGTGATGATGAAGTATTATGAATTATGTGTGTATCTCAGATTCGTTTCAGACACAAGGGCCAGGCTAAACATAATGTTTGGATTCAGAACAGCATGACACCAACTGATAATACTCCAATAAAAACTCACTACTGCCAATGTCCAGTTGGTCAAAGAACTACGGGAATGTTTGTACATCAAATATACTTTACTATCTTGGCTATCATAGCAATTTTCAAAATCCAGAACAGTTGCAGCCAGGGGCTCAGAAGTTCCGACAAAGCTTGAAATAAGTTGTTTCAAAGCCTCGCGTAGTTTTTTCTTTTCCTTCTTTTTTCCAAGTCTTGCATCATACAAAACAATAGCTGTAAATGTCATCAGCTTTTAATAGGGTGACTAACATTGAAATATATATAAAAGCAAAGTAGCAAACAAACAAACACAGAATCTTTGAATTCCATTGACATTGCAAGAAAGTTGTCTGGGAATCTGACAACTGATTAGACAGTTGATTGAATGTCTTGTTGGCCATCTCGAAAAGGAATAAACCAACGAATCTTTTCCACAAAACAATCTGCTGATTAAATATTCATTCCATCAAAACTGGAACAAACATTTTCTTTTCAGTCAGTTTTCAGTCGTAATGATTAGACTAAACACATATCCAGGATTTCTGATGTATTGACCATATCTTCCATCACATATTTGGTATGATATTTTTGTCACTGGTAGTTCATGACCTAGTCCTTCTATAATCAAAATATTTTTATTATATTAAAGTTACATAAGATTTTATAAGATGAACACATTATTTGTCTGAAAAATATCTTTGCTTGAGATGGCTTCTGGCTGTTGATTTGTCTGTAAATATCTGGTAACTCCTATAGCAAGGGACCTTTACATGTATACTGTAGCATATGATCTCTAGTTTTGGTTGCATCATAAAGGTTTCTTCATTGCGTTGTTAGTGTACCACATCAAAGTGTACCACGGTGCACAAAGAAATGAAAAATCAATTCTTTGTGTACAATATGTAGTTCATAAAAAGATCAGAATCGAATTTGTTTAAATCTCATATACTTTCACATGAATCTGTACACACAGCACCGACACCAGCCGGCAGAATGAAATGAAAACTCGTCGCTTTCACTTCATTCTTTACCATTGAAAAGTAACACAAAGATATGAAACCTTTTCGCTTTTTCCTCATTCTGTACCGCATTATGGTACACAAAGATATGAAAACTCGTTGCCTTCATTTCATTCTGCACTCCTAAAAGTGGTACAGAAAGGATGGTACAGAAAAATATGAAAGCTTTTGAATGCCGTTGTCAGACAGCGTGACCTGAAATGACCCTCAGAAATAAAATACGTGGTCACAATGTCGAAACAGCAATCGTAGTGCATTCATCACTTTTGAGGAAAGTCATTGTTTGCTACACTTCTGCCTATGCTGGGGCATGAAGAGGGTTTTTAATAGAAAGTAAAACGACGTTTGTTTATTTTCGATATTTCTTCTGTATTATATCTTGTTATTGATTGTATGCTCATACAAGAATCGTTTATTGTGTTAACGAAGCATTTATACTTCTTTTCTGGTCCACGGCACTCTATTGTGTGACCGAGAGTAGCAACTGATAGCAAATGACCGAAACTGACCCTGAGCTATTAATTTTCCGATTAAAACATAATGAGTTGACGCTGTGGAATGTTGAAGTCTGTTTTTAGGGCTCATACAGGCTACGTCTTGATTATTAAAAATAAGAGAGAGACATATTTGGACATACAATTATCGTTTAATTTTGTTACGTTTACCGGCACGTGTCCTTGTGTTGTTTTGCTTTTTATTTAATTTTATCGCGCCTCCTTCCACTCTCTTTGGGACCATGTTTAAGTTCAACAAAAAGAAGAGAGCTATTGAAATTTGTGACAAATATAAACAATGTTCAGAGAAATGAACGTCATACCATAGCTCTGCTGTATATTACGCAATCAATGATCTTGTCCGCGCTATCAATACATTAAGTTTGGCAAGGAGTACGTGAGCCGGTTAGGTCCAACTATTTGGAGAAAAAGTTCATCGCAATAAAACATATAACAAACTACCCAAAGTCAATTTAAACTTTACTGTTAGGTACTATTGTCAAGCGCTGGCTTATAATAATAAAATAACCATACACATTTACCGTACCATTCCCAAAACGTAACGGTCGCTTTCATAGATAACTGTGATAACATTTTGAATGCTGATAATTCCAAAAGCTGGTTAGATCAATATGCCATTGCCAGTTTAATGTGTACAATGGGACAGAAACAAACAATAAAATTGTAATGCAAAAGCGTAACGCGGTTCAGAAACGTTTAAATGGTTCAAATGTGGGAAAGATTATTGACTAAAAATGGGAGACACATTTTTGTTCGCAAAAACAAAACTCTTGTTTCAGAAAGCTAATTAACCCTGCCCCATGCGATTAGTCAAAACAGAAATTAACTGCTATATGTACAACTACATGAATAGATTACAGTAGGAGCAAAATTGCATAAACTGATTGGGATATTATTAGCACTATTTCAGTATTTCACCCATCAAACTGCTTCGGTGATGGTGAGTGTAACATGGAATGTCTTTGGTCATAATTGCCATGACGGAAACATTTCATTGGAGTTTATTTGACACTGTAATATACATTAATTGCACTTGATGATAGCTTTGGAAAAAATAGCAAAGCTTACCTAAAGAATATTATTTTCAAAGAAATAGTTATTGAAAAAACCGATAAACGATTATTTTACAGGGGGAATTGAAAACCAAAACAAAAAAATTCGAATAAATAAACAATATTTGAACAAAGAAACGCCAATATTTGATCGAAAAAACAAAATTAGATTGCGTCTTACCCCAAAAATTGATCGAAACAAACTTATTCCAACACTGGTTAGTTTTTGTGAACAAACGATGGCCATTCACGTTTATCCATGCTGGTCATTTATGCAAATCCGTGCTCGTTATTTTTAAAAGCAAAACTTTGTCAGAAACCTTGTTTAATAGCTGACAACAACTAAATATATACTTAAATAAAACCCCGATAAACAATAGTTTTATAATAAGACGAAAAATATGAATACACATGCATGTATCTCAAAATGTTTCAGTCGAGAAATTACATCTTGCAAGGGATCATTCAACTGTGTAATTTTACTTTCAGGCATTTTGAAAAACAGATTATGGGCGTTGATTAAAACAATGATGTAGATATGAATGTTTACGGAAGTAAATTATAAGGTTGTTTGTTTCAACAATTTTGCATATGGGCACATCTTTTGAATAAGTTAACTTCTTTTTATCGTATTGGAAATCATATTATGCATGCATTAATTGAAATTGACATAATACTATATAATCACGGTTAATAGAGTGTATTACGCAGGGAAATGATATCTTTGAACGTCTTCCGTCGCGTTGCATCAGAAATAACGCTAGATAATTACGTAAAGCTGAAATTTTATTCAACTTTTATTAGAACTTGGTATTTTTCGTTTCAGAAGTGGAACTATTTAAACAACAAGGTGGTCATGGAGTAATCGTCACTGCAGACCCAGGTAAAATATTATTAATCAGACAAATATTAGAAACATGATGGGATAAAAACCGATAGCATCGTTGTCAATCAATGGAAATATTTTCATCCTGTTACACATAAAAGAAATCAGCTCATTAAGTAAAACTAACATTTCATTTTACTTCACACCTTTATAGACGTCTACATATATTTTACTACTTTTTATATTTCAGAAAGGAAACAATTTGAAAAAGAAAGTAGTCAAGAACGAAACTCTAGTGAAGTATCCATAATTATGTGGAGGGCTAAATATGTCCACAAAATGTGTGAACAGATTATCTGGAACGCCTCCTACGTTCATGCAAGGACTCCCGTCTTCTTTTACTCAAAACCAAATGGTCTACTTGCCTGTAAGTCACCTAAGACAGGGAGTACGTTCATGGGTGCATTGATCAGGGCGCTCAATCAGCCCAGTATTGACAAAGTCTCCGGCATGTTTCTGTTAGGAAGAAACAAAATCCATAATGGTTTGCACGAAGTATGGGACATACTGGCGGCTGAACCAATCAAACAGTCGACATTGACAGGGATGATAACACGTGACCCATATTCGCGGCTGTTTTCAACTTTTGTAGATAAATATTTCCTCCTAGGACGGCTCGGCAGGGAATTAGCTACTTACCTCAAACGAGGGTTTAGAGAAGACAGAAACAAGTATTGTGGATACGATATAACGTTTCAGGAATTTCTGGATTATGTTGTGTTTCTAGCTCAAAGTATGAAGGAGTTAAACGAACATATGGTCCCCGTATCTCAACTCTGTGACGTCTGTAATATGAAATATGACCTTATTTGTCGACAGGAGTCTCTGTCGGAAAGTATATCAGAAGTATTAAGACTTACTAAGAATGTAACCAGCAGCAGACTGAATGCTATCCGTAAGTCCATCAATACTACTTCACCATACGCATCAATGCACTCTCTGATTTCCTCGCACATATTTGATTACAACAACCATCGTCAAGATTGTCCTAATCAATTGTCTTTTATGAGGAAAATGTGGAAAGCGTTTCAAGTTCAAGGACTAGTTAATTCTGTTATAAAATTTCCAGAGGGGATATTTGCACGATTTTTGTTCGTTGAGAAGGAAGCTCATGCTATAACTTCTGCCATTTTACAAGTAATACAGTCGAATCCATTGTCGAAAAAACAAAGACAGCAGCAGAGATTGTCAGCTCTGACGATTGCATACCGTAATATAAGGTGGCAGACTATTTTCAATTTACAAAAAGTGTTTAAATTGGATTTTCTGTTGTTCGGCTACTCAAATTATCCACCTGATATGTATAATATCACCCAAACAACAAATGGATATATTTGACATTTTTATATCCATATAATTACATTTTATATAGTACGCTGATATAATGATTTTTTGTTTTGTTCTGTTTTTGTCTCGGCGCCACGAAGTAGCAGAGGCGAGACTAAGGTTTTGCTTTTCCGGCTACGGCGGCGTCAACATTATTTTTTTTGCGTTTAAGTTAGTTCCACTAAAAGTATAAGTTCTAGACCAACCAAACTTGGACCATAGATGCATCTTAGGTAGTACATTGTTCCTCTGATCACATGTAAGACTTGTTGGAATTTTTTAAAATGTTTGGCGATTGAAGCATCGGGTTCAAACAGTAATGCCAACTCCTACCATTCTGTTAGTAATGTTTGTGCCATAATATGAAAAGGCAAAGCCTTAAAAGAGCGAAGCTTCTGTTGATCTCTGATATTTACTGATTCAGAATGAGATAATACTGCTTTTCAGAATGAGGCAAGATAAATTTTATTAAAAGTCGGCTAGTCGAGGGATAACAACAAAACATAAACTCTAATGAGATTAAGACCGACATAACAATAGGGGAGATCGGGGCAAATTCGGCCCAGTTTTATTAAAGTCCGTTCTGGAAAGTATGGCAGCACGTCCGTTTTTGAACATTATTTAATTTTCCCTGTCGGATGATCGGATGGCCCAACGAGGCCCGCAACGGGATAAGATCGGACAGGCATTCGGGTAAGTTCGGCCCCATTGGAATTAGCTTAATTATGACGTTATAAGGCATGCAATGTCAGATTTTACCGCCAATTTTACGACTTTTTATGTGTTTCAATGGCCGAACTTACCACGGTATCATTGCCCGAAACTGTCCATGCCCAAATTGATATTTCAATAAATTCTTATCGTACAGCAATATGATAGTAAGTGCTTGGCTTGACTTGGCTTTTATGTATATCATTTGAAGCTGTCATTGTGTTACACGTTTGACCGTACACAAATAGCAATTCCGTTTACAGAAAGTTCGCATAACTAGAAGCGTGATCATGATTTTCTTTCTACCCTCTCAAAAGTAATTTTCTCCTGTTTAGTAATTTTACATTAGAGTTTTCCTCGACATTTTTTCGTGCGAATGCTCAGGCAACTAAACTGCTTTAAAGTTGTAAATATTAGCTCAAAACACAAATATCAGGTGTGGCCGAACTTGCCCCGGTCTCCCGTATGTAGATTTTTTTTGTATCGTTGATGATTGGTAAAATTGTAGTGACAATATAATTTTTGCATCAATGACTCCATTTTCAAAGCTAAAGTAGATATTTGTTTTTTTTTGTGCGTAACGTATATGATGGGTCGGGTGGCGCAGTGGATAGCGCGCTCGTCTTCACCAAGATGGCGGGATCTAATCCCTGTTACCTGCCTGACAACGCGGGTTTTCTCCTGATACTCCGGCTTCCTCTCAAATAAAGAATTAAATTCTCTGCGTGCTTCCGTCAGGTCACAAACAGAATTATTGAAATACGGTGGGAAAAAACTGTTTGGTAATTGCTATAGAAAAAAGTGCATTTTACAAATTTGACGATAAGTCTATAAAAGTAAATGTATAGAGATGTTAGTTAAAAATAACAAAATAAAAACAACAACATTGTAATACTTTGATGTAACTGAGATTGTCGTTATATCGATATTTAGAATTCCTGTTCCATCCTGAAACACCGGATTGAATTTCAAATTTTGTAACTGTCACTGAGGTTTGACAGGTAATGATGCCAAATAAAATTAAACGGTTTCTGTCTGTAACTAGTTATAAATTGGCATGCGTTGTGAAAAAGTAATACGTCGCTGGAAAAGGGCGTTGAACTCGGGTTCGTTGTCTGGACAATTATTGTTGATTTCGACATAAATGAATTAGCCATTGTTTCTTTTATGAATGATGATACATACATAAATTATGTAAAGACTATAAACAGACTTTCAAAAATGTTAATTATTTCGTTCATGTTCTCAACAAATGGAAATCAAAAGCTGATGAAATTTTAGACGATGACAAATAAATGTACGCGTTGACCTATTGGTTTAATGCGGCTCTTTATGAAAATATCTCCCGGTAGAAATATTTACAGAACCTGGTTGATGACAAAAAGGATCTTCAGAAAACATCTGCGTTTTTAGCTCACCTGGCAAAAACAGAAATTAAAAAGTCTTGAAGCACCGACAAAGAGATAAATGCAACGGCCATCAGTTCTAAGATTTTCCGGTTATTTTTCATCCTTCCGGAAATAACCGATGAAGGCCGATGGAGTGTGACGTGCTTGTGACGTCATAGTATGATAATCTCTAAAAGACGTTTCATGCCTGCTAGTATCAAAATTTATGTGATAGATTTTTTCCCCCAGAATGTATATTAGTTTTCATCTAAATAAACAAGAAAAAAACCCATTGGTATTGTTATCACTATATGAAGATGTTCATGTATGGGATGAAACCCAATTGTCTTTGCTTCAAAGATACAATTCCGGTTTCCCAACTGAACGTCTACTTCCGGACGAAATTTTTTCAAAGGCAAGGTGTAGCAAGGGGAAGCAATTTTGTTTACGCACGCATCATTAAAGAACTTCGCTCGGGCCACTTCGGCGCCCGAGAGCTACGCTCTTATTAAGAATATAGCCAACAGACTTTGCTTAAAAAATACATACAATAATATACAGGTGATGTGACAAAATAACGATATTGTAATGTTAGATAATTATGTGATATATCAACACTAAAAGGAAAATAAAAAAAAAAAACAAAGGAGAAAAAGATAAAACTTCATATGTAATTTATACATTACTAACGATTCAAAGCAGAAAACACCGAAATATAGACAAAGTTACATTTTTACAAACACTCATAGACGTATCAACACTTCGCCGTCGCCATCTTTAATTTTTGCAGAGCGCAAGCGACCCCGAAAACAATTCGGTTAAAAACCGGAAAAAATTCGGTTAAACAAAATTCCAACAGGCGAATGTTTTATGTAGAAAATCAAAACAAAAAGGGAGGCTATATCGACGGTTCCTTATGACAGCCGATATGCTACTCTCTTGAAAACGTGTTTGAAAACACGGATAATCTTAATAAAGATTCTAGAAATGGTACGTACGTGAATAATACACATATTTATATGTCATACTGATCAATCGAAATATGACAGCACATATATGTGCTGTGATCCATACCAGTATAGCATGTATATATATGTGTATTCTAAACATTTGTAACGAATCCCTGTACATGGATATAAACTTAAAAAATGACTTAAGTTGACAAATGTTTTATTTCTTCACAATCTCAAATTTGGTTGAGTCCCTGTACATAACATTATGTAACCAGGATAAACAAAATGTAACTATGATAAACCAAATTTTACCATGATAAACAAAATGTAACCATGATAAACAAAATGTAACCATGATAAACAAAATGTAACCATGATAAACAAATGTTCAAGATAACATAATGCAAATCAAAATACAATACCGATTTTGTAGTATTATATTTTTTTTGACATCACTATAATACATGCTATGTCCATATGTAACATATATTCACAGTATCTTCCATCATTACATAACATACGTTTAAAAACTTAAAACCACTACAAGGACAACTTACATATTGAAGGAAAGGGCTTCGTATAAGTTGTTTAACTTAATCCCATTGTTAAATTAAAATAGGCAATAAAATAATTTCAGGCATTCATTATTAACCCATTGACCACTGAAGTTTCATAATGAGCTATTCCAACCTTTGAATTGTAAGGATTCACATGTGTCTTTAGGGTTGAATGAGTTAAAGGACTGAGTTTGGGCAGGGTCTATTATAAGAATGTAAGGTATTCAAAAACCTATATATGTCTCATATGTATGTTGCATGCAACTGCTGGGTTAAATTTTCTGTATGGAAAGTGTTTTAAATTATTTATTGAGTCCTATTTAAACATATCTGTTGCATTAAATATCAATAAGCACATGACTGTGTTATATTGCATTTTTCACTTAATGTGCTATTTAAAACTATTAAAGATTTTCAACTTATGTTGGAAAAATATTTTGTTTGGGGTTGTGGGGGTTGTGATTGGATTAATATTGCTTCGGAAACACAAATATTTACAACTACCTGACCATAAAATCAAAAGCCAAATATTACCTGTATATATGTGTATACCTATGTCAAAGTATGACTGTATCCATTTAATTCAAAATGGCATGGTATAACAACCACTGAGAACAAAATTCAACATCAAAAATACTACACATGTACTATTAAAGAATTGAAGATGTGTACGTGTCCAAGATGACCACATCTGATGTTCAAATTACAAAGTAAATTGCTTACAGAAGAATTTATAGCAGGCAATACAAAGACTTAAAAAGTTTTCGTATTCTCAAAGTATGACACTTACAACACATTCCCAACACCAGGATGACATCGGCCTCATCGCTGCTGGTATATTTAATATGTATTAAGCTATTCCTTGATAGTATCCATCGTTGTATCACCTAGGCCCTTTATGATACAAAAATCATGCTGAACAAATGGCAGTTTAACATGATGTTTATTGACTATCTGCATAATTTATAAAGAGTCATCACCTGATGCTGTATCTCCAACAAAGAAGAGTTCTGATGTAAGTTATTCATCACTTAAGTTATTTGCAAAAGCAAGGAAGCAGAATCAAAGAAATATAGATATATATTTATTATAATGTCAGTTATCATAAAAAACACTTGTATTACTGTTGGGATTCAATTGTAGGCTCTCTTTATTATAAAACTAAACTTAGTTTACTGTGTAAACAATTTAGATATTAGTTTTGCTAACACTTTCTGAATTATTCATTGGAAATAAATTCAAACTGCTTTAACTCCATTATAGGCCTGTAAACAGTAGAAAGTAGGTGGGACTCTTTACCTTAGTCAATATTGTAATGATTGAACTCTTGTTTAAAGGAGAAGATGTTTAGCCCTATATTTAGGACAGTGTACCCGGTACATGTGTATTCAGTGTGATACTGTGGCTACCTTTAAATTTGTTGTTTGGTAAACGTTACTCTGGTTTAATCCCAATTGTTCATCAATCAAGACCATTACTATATTGATACATGAGAGCAACAAGTAAGGTGAAGCTGCTAAGAAGGATTTGTTTTACCAATAAACGAGCCGATGTTTTAACATCCTGGTGTTGGTATTTATATACGTTTGCTGACACTTGTTTTTGGTTTAGGATCAAAACCAATTTTTAAAGACTACATCTTTTAGCAATATGTAGTCTAAAAAACAGAAAAGAAAGTAGGAGTATTTGCATTGTGCACCTGCATGTCAGTTACTCATCTTTTGTCCCCTTCGTAGCAAGTCCACGGTCTGAAAAGAACGGGCAAGAACTGCTTCATAGATATGTTTGACTTCGTTTAAAGATAAAGATTGGTTACCTGGATCCAAGGTTAATTCATAAATATGTATATAATGATAAGATTCATATAAAAATGTTCTATAAAACGATATCAAAGTATCAGAACATACGACGACAATAG